CACATGAAGGTCGCAAGAATCAGGGGTAGTGATGTTCCCTATGGTGCCCTGTTCCATTGCTAAACCTTGTGGATAAAAGAAGGACTGATTTTAATGGAGTCTGTGGAAAGAACTCAGATTCTCAGGTCCCGAACCTTGCGGATTGTTGAGCTTAGCAATGTTCAAACCTCATTTCTAATCCACAAGTGCATCTTGTGAAGGAAACTGTACATATCTTGTTCACTAAATTTGTGATTGATTAGGATTGGTCGGAGACTAAAATTCAGGTTCATTTCCGATCTACACGCACATTCGTGACGGAAACTGTGTGTATCTTCTTGTTCACTAAATTTGTGAGTGACTTGGATTGGTTGCATACTAAAATTCAGGTTCATTTCCGATCTAGAAATTTGTGATTGATTGGGATTGGTTGCTGATGGAACACTTCAAATACTGAAGTTTAATTACAAAAAATCCCTGACTTAACTTCATGTCTGACTGGCAAACAGTTGCCATTCCTGACGGCGAGGAGGACTGGCTTTGCAATGGAAGCACCTCAAATGCTTAAGTTTAATTACAAGGAATCCCGACTTAACCTTATGTCTGACTGGCAAATAGTAACGAGGAGGACTGGCTTCGCATTTTAGCTTCCAAAGGCTATGGTGACACAGCGGAGACTTGGCAAGAAATGTCTGAAAACTTTGAGTTGAAAGATGGCACACCACATTTGAATATGCCAGAGGAAGCTGGATTCTCATAGACATCTACCATTTATCAATTGTAACCTACCGTACCCTACACTGGTTGGGAGATTCAAGATTTTCAGCACAATCTATGGTGAAAAATGTCGTTTGTTTTTCAGAAATTTTTCACTGAAAAAAGTGGTGAAAAATTCAAATCTTTTTCACCTCTTTTGAGCTTCCTTTTGAATTTTTCACCTCGAACTCACAAAATAGTGAAATTTTTTTGAGTTTTTCATTACCTTTTTCAGTGAAAAATGTCTGAAAAACAAACAACATTTTCACCGTAAATTGTGCTGAAAAACTTGAATCTCCCAACCAGTGCTATGCTACACACATTGTTCAATATTTCGGGGGAAAATGTCATCGAATTGATTGACTCAAGTTGACTTAAGTGGCTTCAAGTGGCTTGGTTGCCCTAAGTCAAGTCGAGTTGAGTCGGCAGTTCCGTTAAGTCACGACTTTCAAGTCGCGACTCAACTTAGCAAGTCGCGGCAACACTAGAATAAGTAATAATAAAGGCCTGCACAAGTGTGAAATAAGACAAGGGACCAAGTACGTGACAAGACCTGGTGGTGGATGGCAACACACCTGTAATATATGATAATTTCGAAGATGATTTGGCAGGGGATCCCCGTTCGAACTGGAGTCAGGTCATTTCCGATGAGCACTGCGTTTTTTTTACGAGGTCTGCCCGTGGTGTATCTACTTTTCTCTCAATGTGTACAGCTGTATCTGGTACGTACCCGAGTTTGATTTTTGATGGTCCGCGGAGTGGCATTGAGATGTATCTTTGGATGGTGAATATTGGAGCCCTTTGTTTTTATCTACCAGCACAGAAACTGTACTGTGGTATTGGGGAAATAGGAGGGGGAAAGACCTGGTGGTGTACAGCAGCACACCTGGATGGCAGCCAAAGAAGTCTGTAGGAGAACCCTGTTCATTTTGGGGCCAGGTCATGGTGAGACGGATACTTCTGTATTTTTTTCTACACGTTCTGCCGGCGGGGTGTTTTTCTTCGGATATTGATAGCTGCGTCTCATATATTTCTTGGTTCTGTGGTGTTCCAACCTTAAAGCTCAAGGCAGGGAACACCAATGTGGCTACCACGTTCGAAGTAGGTCACATGTGGTTTAACTGCCGAGGCTTGATGTATCTTTGGATGTTGAGTATTTGAGCCCTTTGTTTTTATCTACCAGCACAGAAACTGTACTGTGGTATTGGGGAAAATAAGAGGGAGAAAGACCTGGTGGTGTGTAGCAGCACACCTAGGCTAGATGGCAGCCAAAGACATTTGCAGGAGAACCCCGCTCGATTCGGGGTCCGGTCATGGTCAGACATGATACTTGCGTATTTTTTTCTACAAGTTCCGCTGGCGGGCTGTTTTTCTTCGGATAGCTGCATATACTTCTTCGGTTGTGTGGTGTTCCAAAGTTTAAGGCAGGGAACACCGATGTGGCCACCAAGTTCGAAGTATGTGTGGTTTAGTTGCTGAGGTTTGATTGAGAACAATAATAAAAGCCCTGCACAAGTGTGGAATAAAGCAAGGGACTGGAGTAGGGTGACAAGACCTGGTTGTGGATGGCAACACACCTGTTACACATATGGGCCGTGTTTCATGTCGAACATAATTTGGCAGGGGATCCCCGTTCGAATCAGGGTCAGGTCATCTCCAGTGAGTTTCTGTTTTTTTTTTTACGAAGTCTGCCGTGGTGTCTCTGCTTTTTTCTTGATGTGTACAGCTGTATCCGGTACGTACCCGAGTTTGGGGGTTGGTTTCTTGATTTTTCGATGGTGGCAAGATGTATCTTTGGATGTTGAATATCTGAGCCCTTTATTTTTGTCTACCAGCACAGAAACTATACCGTGGTATTGGGGAAAATAAGATGGAGAAAGACCTGGTGGTGTACAGCAGCACACCTAGATCGCAGCCAAAGAGGTTTGTAGGAGATCTCCGTTAGATTCGGAGCTAGGTTATTTCTCGTGTATCAAGTCTTTTTTTACAAGGTCCGCCCGTGGTGTGCTTGCTCGCTCCCTGATGAGTATCTGGTACGTAACTGTTTGAGAGTTGGTCGTTTTGGTGGTCCGGACTCAGGGTGGTAAGGATGTGTAAGGATGTATCTTTGGATGTTGGATATTCGAGTCATCTACCAGCACAAAAATCATACTATGGTATCAGGGAACAGAAGAGGGGAGGAAAGACTCGGTGGTGTATGCCAACACACCTGCTATGCATGGAAGGAACTTGAAGATAATCACATAATTGGCAGGAGATCCCCGTTCGATTCGGGGTCAGGTCATATCGCCGCAAGATATTTTTCTTTCAGCTATTACTGCCGAGGCTGATCGAGAGTCGGAAGGCCTGCATACCTAATAAAAGTGTTGATAAAGCGGAGGACAAGAATGGGAATAGGAAGACCTGGTGGTGTATGTTCACACACCTGCTATACATTATTTGATCTTGGCTTGCTGTTTGGCGGGAGATTCCTGTTCAATTCGGGGCCAGGTCATCAGACCGCCAGAGTATCCTTTTTTCTGTTGAGCTCTACTGATCAGGTGAGTGTTTTTACATACTGTTGGTCTACACGATAGGCAGTGCTCCTTCCAAAGTTCCTGAATTTTGCTTTTAGTTGTGTGTGACACGGTGCAATTTCGTTGAGTTGAGTTATTGGATGCGGGGTGGGTGTAATTAAGGGATAGGGTATGGGATGAGAATAGAAAGAACAAGACCGGGTGGTGTAAGATAACACACCTGCTACATTTTTTCCGATCTTATATACCGTCAGCAGGACATCCCCGTTCGAATCGGGGCCAGGTCATAGTCATATTCTGGAAACTTTTTGCCCCAACTCGGGGGTATTCAGGTGTGTGCTTTAATCTGTACAGCTGTAAGCAGATGATGATATTTGCTCGATTTGTTGGTCACCCGGCTCCAGTGCGGTGAGGTATTTGTTTCGACATTGAAGCCTAGGGGTCTTTGACTCTGGACAGGTGGATAAGGCGGGGACAAGAGAAGAGTAAACAGACCTGGTGGTGTATAGTAACACACCTGTTGGACGTGACGTGAGGGTATGCAATGCATGATTTGGCAGGAGAACCCTGTTCGATTCGGGGCCAGGTCATGGTCAGAAATGATTACTTCTGTATTTTTTTCTACAAGTTCCGCCGGTGGGGTGTTTTTCATAGCTGCGTCTCATGTAATTCTTCGTTTTTGTGGTGTTCTAAAGTTCAATGCAGGGAACACCGATGTGGCCACCAAGTTCGAAGTATGTGTGGTTTAACTGCTGAGGTTTGATTGAGAATAATAAAAAACGGCCTGCACAAGTGTGGAATAAAGCAAGGGACCAGGGTAGGGTGACAAGACCTGCTGGTGGAATGGCAACACACCTGCTACATATTCCGGTAATCCGTAGAGAGCATAATTTGGCAGGGGATCCCCATTCGAATCGGGATCAGGTCATTCGCGAAGAACATTGAGCTTTTTTTACGAGGTCTGCCCGTGGTGTATCTGCCTTTTTCTCAATGTGCACAGCTGTGTCCGGTATGTGCCCGAGATTGGGGGTTGGTTTCTTGGTTTTTTGATGGTCCGCGGAGTGGCATTGAGATGTATCTTTGAGCCCTTTGTTTTTATCTACCAGCACAGAAACTATACTGTGGTATTGGGGAGAATAAGAGGGAGGAAGACCTGGGGGTGTACAGCAGCACACCTAGATGGCAGCCAAAGAAGTTTGCGGGAGATCCCTGTTCGATTCAGGGCCAGGTCATCTCCGGTGAGATAGTATTTTTTTACAAGGTTAGCCCGTGGTGTACTTGCTTGCTCCCTGATGAGTACAGATGTGTCTGGTACATAGCTGTTTGAGAGTTGGTCGTTTTGGTGGTCCGGACTCAGAGTGGTATTAAGGATGTATCTTTGGATGTTGAATAATCGAGTTGTCTACCAGCACAAAAATCATACTGCGGTATTGGGAACAGAAGAGAGGAGGAAAGACCTGGTGGTGTATAGCAACACACCTGCTATGCATAATAGATCGAAGATATTCGCATAATTGGCAGGAGATCCTCGTTCGAATCGGGGTCAGGTCATGGTCATATTCTGGGAAGTTTTTTCCCCGGCTCGGGGGTCGGGTGTGTGCTTTGGTCTGTACGGATGTAGGACAGATGGTGATATTTGCTCAGTTGGTCACCCGGCTCCAGTGCGGCGAGGTATTTGTTTTGACATTGAAGCCCGTGAGTCTTTGATTCTGGACAGGGGAATAAGGCGGGACAGTATAAGAGTAAAAAGACCTGGTAGTGTATGATAACACACCTGTTGCACATAATTCTTTGCAATGTAATTCGGCAGGAGAACCCCGTTCGATTCGGGGCCAGGTCATGGTCAGACGTGATACTTGTATTTTTTTCTATAAGTTCCGCCGGCGGGGTGATAGCTGTGTCTCATATACTTCTTCGGTTCTGTGGTGCTCCAAAGTTTAAGGCAGGGAACACCGATGTGGCCACCACGTTCGAAATATGCATATGTGTGGTTTAACTGCAGAGATTTGATTAAGAATAATAATAAAAGCCCTGCACAAGTGTGGAATAAAGCAAGGGACCAGGGTAGGGTGACAAGACCTGGTGGTGGATGGCAACACACCTGTTAGGCATAGTGTAGAAGGCGCCTAATTTGGCAGGGGATCCCCGTTCGAATCGGGGTCAGGTCATTTCCAGCAAGCAGTCTGGTTTTTTTTTACGAGGTCTGCCCGTGGTGTATCTGCTTTTTTCTTGACGTGTACAGCTGTATCCGGTACGTACCCGAGTTTGATTTTTCGATGGTCTGCGGAGTGGCATTGAGATGTACCTTTGGATGTTGAACGTTGAATATTCGAGTCGTCTACCGGCACAAAAAGCATACTGAGGTATTGGGGAGCAGAAGAGGGGAGGAAAGACCTGGTGGTGTATAGCAACACACCTGCTATGCATAGGTGGGTGGAAGATATACACATAATTGGCAGGAGATCCTCGTTCGAATCGGGGCCAGGTCATTCCATGACTCGGAGTTCCAAAGTTTTTTGCACGTCTCATTTTTCAGGCACCTACCTACCTATATCTAACTCGGTGCATTATTGCCTCAACCAATTTTGTGCCCAATTTCCTTCCTATCTCCTGCGCATCCCGATAAGATAATCGTTATCTGATTGCGGGGCTTGACTCGAGTTTGGCATCGACGCTGTTGATCGCTTACGCCGAAGACCGAACGCGTCCGAAGGCGCGTCTGACCTGAAGTGAACGTCGAACCACCGTTTCTGGCTGCTGCTATATTGCCCTGGTACAACGTTGTACGCTACGCTACTCTACATCTCAAGTCGACCCTGTTGCAAGCTCGAGGCCAAGAGGCAAGGACGAGAAGGCAGAAGAGGGTTAGAGGGTTAGTGAGAGCGAAGGCGTGTGTACGTCAACGTGCCCACTTCCCAACGTCCTCGCCCTGCTTCCGCCCATGCCCGCCCCGCGCCAGGCATGGCCGCTGCGCTCTCCCCACACGCCCATCCCGCCCTGCGTCCACATCGTTGCCATGCCCCACGCCCCTCTCGCCCGGACACAGGGTTTCCGCGCCCCACCCGCACTGTCTGTGCACATCCACGTCCGCGCCACGCCTGCGCACCTACCGCTTCCATTGACACAACTCCCGCCGCCGAGGCCCGAAGACCAACGACGCTGCTGCATCCACCACCCAGGCTCCCACCTTGACCGGCAACACCCCCCAAACGCCGTGCCGCCCGCCGCGCCAACACCGCCGAGCGCCTCGCAACTCACAACGCCGTCGAGCGCATGCGCAGGGAGATTCTCAATGGGAGGTTTTTGGTGGGTGTCGCCGTGCGCGTAGATATCTGTCTATAGACACGCGCGATTATTTTTGTGCCGGGTGCTGATGGTATTTTTGCAGACCCTCGCGTCCCTCCTCCCCCCGCTCGCGGCGTTGCGCCGGCCAAGCAAGGCCGCGATCGTTAGTTCGAGGTGTGTTTATTCCTGCGGTTTCCGTTAGACGATCCTGCTCGCGTACCCGCCCGGCGCGCGCGATATGAAGCCCCAACGGAGCGAGTGTCCGCCGTCTGTCGCTTCCTTGCTGGTTCTCAGCCTAGCCTACTCGCGGGCGCCGGAGGAGGCCCGAAGGCGGGGCGTGTGGGGGGAGGGGAGACTCTTAGTTTCACTGCCTGCACGCCCCACTTCCTCGCGCTTGTGCCCTATTCTTGTTCCTGTTCCTGCTCTGCCCCCTCCCCCTTCGTACACCAGCTGACTCGTATTATTTCCTCACAGCACCGCGACCGTCAACGCCACCGCGCGCCACCGCGTCCTCGCAGCGCAGACCTTGCGCTCGCTCGCCAGGGAGGCAGAGCAGTTGAGGCGGGTAGGTGTCGTTTCCTCTCTTTCCTCTTGCTAAAATTGATGTTCTTTATTGTAGGAAGTATATGCGCGCCCGCGTCCCGCAGCTCGACGTCCCCGTCCGCTGCGACGCACACAACGCTGTCCTTTGCACCGAGCTCGAGGACTTTGAGCTCGAGCTCGACGCCGACGTCGCGCTCGAGGAGGACGACGAGGGCGACGAGCCTGACGACAATCACGACAACAGCAGCAACAGCACCGAGGCGGCGTCGCCCGTGTCCCCCGCCGTGCCGACCCCTCGCCCGCGGCGTCCTCCCCGCAGCAGCTGCACGACGCCGCCGCGAGCATCAAGCACGCGCGGAGCGGGTCCGCGTCGGCGTCAGCATCGGTGCACGGCTTCTACACGCCCTCGCCCATCCACACCGCGATGCCGCCGCCCAGCGTTAATACCCCCCCCCACCAGCAGCCGCTTCGCGTTCGGCGTCGACGCGCCGCCCGCGTCGCTGTCGTCCGCGAGCGGGAGCGTGGGGATGCACATGCTGCACCCTGCGATGATGGGGGGGAAGGGTATGCCGCGTACGAGGGTGCGGGGGCAGGCGCGCCGTACGACCTCGGCCTGGGCTTCGATGGTGAGGACCTGTTCTTTTGGGGTGGCTCCTCCGGCGTGGCGATGGGCGTGGCGGGCCTGAACAGCGGCATGATGGGCTCGGGGATGGGGATGGGGATGGGAGCAGGAGGAGCAGGCGGCATCGGCAGCTGGGCACACACCAACCCGTCGCACCCCGCGTTCCACCTTGCGCAGGTACAGGCCGCGCACCTCCAGGCGCAGGTGCAGATGCAGGTGCGGCAACAGATGCGCATGCGTGAGGTGTACGAGCAGCAGGCGCAGCTGGCGATGGGCGGCGTGCACATGGGGATGCCGATGGGCGGGATGGGCGTGCCGGTGAGTGTGGCGCAGCCGAACGTTGTATTCCTCTCCTTGTCCGATCCGAGCGTCGAAACAGGAAAAAATTGGCGGCTGAAGGACGTGGAAGGTGTCGCGGTCTATCTCGAATGCCTCGATAGCAACAAATCGATGTATAGGCTGTTCTAGGACACTGCGACATTGCAAAAAATTACTCGGAATGTTGATTTGTACGACTTTACAGTTGAATTGCATATGCCCACTTCCCAACTAGTTGGTGGTTCTGGCCCGTTGGTGATGAATGCATAATTGACGAGAACTTCTTGGAGACGGATCTTTTTGCTCAATGGACGTCGGTTGCCTTACACTAGTGGTTGGACGATAATTGGATCGATGTTGGCGTTGCGGTAACGAGCACCCAAACTGATACTATCCGCGAAAACATGCTTTGGAGCCGAGGACACGATGTGCATAGCAGGTCTGTCTAGCTCGGGAAGACGTAGCAGATCACTTTCGAGCGCAGACACTCGCCTAGCAATCGCCCTCACCTCTTTCGCCGACGGCACCGAGGATTTTTCACAAAGCTCTTCTGATTGGCTCACGGTTCGTCTTGTCCTGCTGTCACTTTGGCCAATGAATTAATGACCGCAGACCCGGACTGAGATATGGAAGTGAGTTTTCTCTTCTCCCAGTTGGGAGGCAACGATACTTACTGTTCAGCCAGCCAGCTAAATCAAATTCCTGCGCAAGTCCTATGGATCCCGCCTGAACGTGTTCGCACCGATCAACGATCTGTTCTCGCTGTCGAAAACCAACCAGGAGGATCGTGCAGTGGTCCCCGGGAAGAAGAACGATATGGCCATTGCAGGCGGACCAGATCCTTGGAGATGAGCACTCGAAGCATGTGGTCAAGGTACTTTTTTTTGCGACGATATTGTTACCTCGCTGATTTCTTTAATTCTCAGAATCGGAGCGGGATTATCCTCCAAGAAGGGTGCATTTTTTTTCTCTAAGTTATTCATCGTGCTGAAACCCTTCTCTAAGCAGCACACTCCTCAAGTCTGACCAGTGGCATCAAGAATCGCACCACGTCGACCACGGTGTCCGTGGTGCCATCAACTTCCGCTGCGTGCCCACGAACCACATCTACGCGCTTGGCCAACCAACGCTCGAAGCCATCGACAAGGTACCTCCGTGCATCGAGCGCGCGCATCCGTCGGCGCAGCGGATCATATGGATCACGTTGAGGGAGGAGCCGATCGTCTACATCCATGGCGCGCCGTGCTGCCTTTGACGGGAGGGCTTCTCGTTGAGGAATATGAAGGCTATGAAACTGGTGCTTTTTGTTAGGGTTTTTACTTTACAGCTATTGGCAGTAACGAAGGCGCGGATCGAAAATTTCCATTTCGGGATGTTTTCAGAGAATTGTCCATAACTAGCCATAACTCAACCAATTCTCTACCAATTGAGATGAAATTTAGGTAGATCTATCAGGCTAATTAATGGGCAATTAGTGATAGAAAGCAATTCATGAAAATATTATATATTGAGTAATTTGTGTGTTTGGCCTGTTTTGTGCCAAACACTACATTCCGCCGTCGGCTAGACTCAGTTGCCGAGGTCCGTGTAGCCGCATCTTGACTCGGCTACACGGACCTCGGCAGAGTGAGTCTAGCCGATGGCGGAACATAGTGAAATGCCACCTAGCATGCCCTGAACATGTCCCAGTGACCTAATACTTCAAGAGGGACAACATGTATGCCTAGGGAAGCGGCTGGCAGAGGAGAAGGAGAAGGAGGTGGAGCATGAGAGGAAGTGCCGCGAGAAGGAGGAGAAGGGGAAGGCAGAGAGGCGGGACTGCGAGGAGAAGGAGCGCAAGCCGAGGGAGGAGCGCGAGGCCAAGGCAGCGAAGGATAAAGCGGCGCAGTTGACGGCAGCGAAGGAGAGGGAGGAGAAGGAGCGGGAACGCAAGAAGGCACTCAAGGAGAAAGAGGAGAAGGAGGCGAAGGAGAAGGCGGAGAAGGAGCGTGTGGCGGCACAGTTGCAGCAGCAGCAGCAGCAGAGAACTGCGGCTGCGGTCAAGATTGCGAACAACGCACGTGCTCAGGCGGCCCACGCCTCTGCGCAATGTGAATTCCGGCCCCAGCAATGCTGCTGCGCCGGGATCTGGTCAGCATGCTGTTCCAGTGACAACAAATGGGAACACCGTGCAGCCCAAGAAGATCCTCAACAAGCAGGCAGTACCTGTCCCCACTGCGGCAGCCATCTCTGTTTCGCTGCCGATGGCCGTCCCTGCGCCCAACACTGCACACCACATGTCGCCTCCGCAGCAGCATCAGCAGCTTCGTTCCGTGCTGCCGCTCCATGTGCACTCGCTTGCTAATGTCTCTATTGCTATTGTCTTAATTATTGTCCAGGATTGGCACAGAAGATGGCTGG